TTCTGTAATTTTGTCACCTAATTTTACGTCGTTTGTTGCTGTAAATTTTTTACATGGTTCTGTTAAATGTTTAAATAAAGCATCAAAGCTTATTTAAAATGTTTTGGTTCGTTTATGGGACAGTTAATGTATGAGTTGTTGATTTAGTCAGGCTCTTTATGCATGTTGTTTGTTTTCTCGGCTTCTGCTACTTTTTTAATGCACTATTTAAAACCTTAAAACTAGGAGGAGTTGTTTCTGGTGTTTATTGTTCAGCTATTGTGTGTTTATATATAGCCACTATAACAGCTCATTTTACTGCAGTAGTGGACAGTAAACTGTGCATTATCCCTCACCATTTAGGTCTGGCTTTAATATTGTCAACAGCAGGGCTTTTTAACTGTTTTCTTATCATAGAACCTCACTGTGGAGAAGACTTGATGCACCAGACTGAGGCCATTAAATCTATGTGCTGCACTTTATTTAACCAAATGTTAGTCTGACAAGAAAAACAGTTTGTAATATGAAGCTTGTTTTTCTTAATAGAACTCCAGAAGCAAAGTTATTCCCATAATTATATCAGTTATATATCTGTTTTGGACGGAGGACCCCTTCCTGTTTCACTTTTTTTTATTATTATTATTATTATTAAACAGGAACTCAGAATGTGGATCAAACTTAGCAGATTTTTAATCCCCTTTAGTAAAAATCATTTGTGGTTCTGTTTTTGCCTAACTGACTTTGGTTTGTTGCATTTTTTTAAATCAACAATCCCCGGTACGTGCCTTTAGTCTGCCGTAAATTGATTTAATAACACATCTGCTACCTTATTTACATCTCCTGAGTAAAAATAAAACAGAGGCAAGCCAGACTTCATAGACATCTTTTAAATCTGTACCTAGGGTCTGCTTCAGGCAGTTTACTTTTGTTTTTACATGTTGATAGGGAAATTGTTTTTTTTTTTTCACATTGGAAATTGTTTTTCAGTTTTATGTTGCAAGTTTGAGTAAACTAGACTGAATTGATTCTGGGGTTTTTTCTAATAATAGTGTTCAAACAAATCGCTATGAAAATATTTTAAATTTGAGTTGTTATTTTTGTTTTTAGCGTTGCTTGTAAAAGTGTTTAGTTTGTCAGTTTGGTTAGAATTAGAGCAGATTTCAAAATAAAGGCCCTGTTTTAGACAACTTGTGCCAACTTGTGAAAATTTTGTCTAACATTAAAGATGTCTACACTGAACATGGAATAAAAAAACTACTTAAAGCTATTTTGGACGTATCCGTACTGTAATTCTAACTAATAAATTGAATATATAACCAAATGAGCATTTTAATCAAAATAAAGTTTTTATAAGTTAAAATAAGTTATCTAAAACATAACGTGACAAGACTGGTGGTTCAAAGAGCTATCTGCAACAGGTAAGATAGTGATTGTCATAAAAAAAATTTAAACGTTTCTTTAAAAAAAGTGTTACTCTAATGTGTCTAATCTATTGAGGTTTTGTGGAAAAAACAAAATACGTGATTGTGACTGAATTTGATGTATCAGTTGATGATCCAAAACTAGACTGAAAACTAGCTTCAGAAAAAGTTACAATTGTTTAAAAGTTTTCAAAACTCTCCCCAAATGTGACATTTACAACTGTTCCTTTCACAGACGGGATGTGAGACTGTGTACCAAAGATGCTTACTGATCACTGAAGAACAAAATAGTTGAAAACAACAATTCATGTTACTTATTGGTCACTATTTCTTTAAACTACTTGAATAAAACATTAAATAGACTCCTCGTTACAGGCTGGACAGTTTCTGTGCTTCAACCCGTCTTTTAACCTCAAATTGTTTAATTTAATTAGTATTTTGTAGCCTGAAAATCCCTCCTTTTAACAACTTGCGTCCTTGCAAATTTATTTCAAGAAATGGTGATGCACAGTGTTTACGGTGTCTTTATAGAGGACCATTTATTCTGAATAGTCTGGGTCTATAGTAAAGACATGAAAAATTATGCCCGAACATCCAAAAGATGGCATCGTTTGAAGTCTGTTCAGTAAATAGGATGTTTTTATTACACGGTATAAATTTATCACCTTGTAAGCTGTATATACATCAGCACAGACCTTGAATGAGGTTTAGCTTTAAACCCAGTAATTATCTCCTCATCCCTACGCATGAACACTAATCCTCGGAGAGCAAAGGGAAAAATGCTCACCAGACAAGCCTCATTAAATATTTACCGTGTTTGGCCACCATCAACACCTCACACAACAAACACCCACAGACCGTTTGGCCTATTTTTTTATTCCCTTCCCAGTTCACGCCGTGTGTTGTTTTCCTGTCTCTGCTGGCTATGGTGAAGCACCGAGGTGGATTTTATTTATTTATTTATGTATTTATTTATTTATTTATTTATTTTCATTATTGGCTGATAATGGCAGATTGCGGGCCAGTCTGCGATGTGTGACAATGTTAAATATTAATGTCTGGGGATGATTATTGTAGGAGATGGAGAGAGGCAGGAAGTGTGATGGAGGTGACACCCCCCATTCATCACGGGGGCCTTAACAGAATCTAAATCCTCCCTGTGTTTTTAACCTTGATACTCTGGAGGGGTAGGGAGGTGGGACGTTGAGAATGGGTGGAGGCAGAGAGATGAAACTGAGATACAGACGGGAAAACGCACCGGGAAAGATCCGACACGGTGCAAGTTATGAACAGCATATGAAAAATGGGCGCAAAGAAATGTAAAGATAGATGGATGGATGCATAGCAAGATCATGAGAGGTGATATAAAAAAAGAGGATGGTGAAAAATAGGCCTGCATAATGTTTAAAGTATAGAGTTCCTTTTTCTCAGCTGACCCGTCAGACTTCCCCGTGTGACAGGCTGACAAATGTGTAGAAAGGAACTTTTATCTTATTTTATCAAGGTCTGGCAGTCACTCAAGCCCTATTCAGCATAAATAAACAAGTAGAGAAGAAAATGGCAGCCATATCACCTTCTTTTCAAGGGTGTCATTTACTTCCGATGTGTCACCTTCTCAAACTCCTTATTTTTTTTATCAGGGAATAAAAAGGAAGGCTGGACTGCCATTTATGCGCCTAATATCTTTTTCAATCATATAATCAGTATACCACCGCATAAAAAGCTGAGTATTTGTTAAAGGAGATGGAGGATATGTATATTTACCTTTGGCACTTTTGACTAAGTCTAATGCATCATATCATTAGAGCTGCAGAGCTCTTTTATTCATTTTTACAGCCCTGCTTTAAAAGCCTGATGCAGACTGGAGGAAAAATGACCATTAAGGCTGTTTTCCTTTTGGTTTTCGTATGGGTCTTTTTTTATTTTACTTTATGTCATTAGTTTTTGGTACAAAAACTGATCAAGGGTGTTTTCTTCTTCACTTGTTTGTCTCTGAACATGTTCAGGAAGTTGTCTAATTGGAACTGTACCTGTGATTATCTAAGGCAAAGACAACTAGAGAATTTGCATTTTCTGTGGAAATGCAGCTTGAATGCTTATTGCTGAAAGATTTTGCAGATTAAAAGTAGAAAAGAACTACAAAGATTTTGCAATTAGTTGTAAAATAGTTGAAAAAAGCCCAAATTACCAGAGAAATAGTTAAGAAATTATTTGAAAAAAACTGACTCTAGCACAAAAAAGCAGAAAGAGCATGTTTGCTGAATTAAGCAATAAGTAGCTGAAATTATCATAAAAATGGTGGATTTAGCTGAAAATAGCTATAAGGAGCTTGGGGGGGCTGTGGGATAGTGGTTTGGGGAGTCGTTCCTTTTAATTTGAAAGTTGGTGGTTTGATTCCCTGTTGTCACATGTTGAAGTGTCCCTGGGCAAGGCACTGAACCCCCACTGCCTCTGATGTGTGTCCCATCAGTGTATGAATGTGATTTAAACCACTGATTAGTCTTCTTTTTTTCTTCTTCTCTTCTTCTTTTCTTTTTTTCTTAGAAAGAAAAAAACACTGATTAGTCACAAAGCTGATAGAAGCACAAAAAAATTAACTAGCAAAAAAGCTAAACAAAGCTAAAATTAGCACCAAAAAGTGTGTGTGTGTATACAATACACACACACACACATATATATATATATAAAGAAGAAGAAGAAGCAGAGCAGAACTATTTTGAAGAATTTTAAGAATGTTGAAGACAATTCCATTCATTTTCAATGAGACAAAATAGATGATGAATAAGACAAAATGATAGTTGAAATGGAAACATCTCAAAGTATAAAATGCTGAAATACCAAAATATAGAAGTAATGTTCTGAAGGAGCTAAACGTTTTGCTACATGAACTGCTGAATTAACACAAAATTTGTAGAACAAGATGGTCTGAAAAACAAAGATGGAACATTTCAGTGACACCTTTTCAGTTTTCTAAGCCTAAAAATGCTCTTTAGTGAGGAACCTGTCGACACAAAGCAGACAACTTTAGCAAAGAACCCATTTTCTATTGATCTTCGCTGTGTTGCTTCCAACCCGTCACAGAAACACAATTTGTTCCCATTTCTTTAGTTGAATCTGTGCAAAAATACAAAGGATAACAGAGTTTGACCCATAAAATAGCATTTTAGTACGTCTGAGTTGCTTCGGCCTCTTCCCCAGCCCACCACCACTTACCTGTAGGCTGTACAGAGTTGTTCTCATCACTTCTGAACATGTTGAGAGAAATGTGTTCAACAGTGATAGGATTAAAGCCTGGATACCAAACCTTACTTACGTTCCACAGTAAGGATTTATAAGCATTTTAAATGTGATTTGTCTGACTGAACTAGAATTAAGAGGCTTTTAAAAGTGAAAGACAGTGAAGGCTTTGAAAAGTCCTTTGACACATAAAATGAGCTGTTTAATTTCATGAGTCACCGCTGTGCAGTTCATTATATCTGAGAAATACACCAGAAATCTCTGCCATGCTAATTCTGCTCCTCCTCCAGATGCCTCACCTGCCTGTGAGCCTGCTCTGCAGGTTAAAAGTAGTCAAACACGTCCGTCCTTTTGTGTCTGCAGGAGTATCAGCCGTGCAACACCCTGCCGTGCCCTGACCTCAAGAAGACCACGCCGTGGACTCCCTGGACACCCGTCAACATCTCTGACAACGGTGGCCACTACGAGCAGCGCTTCCGCTACACCTGCAAAGCTCGAATCCCCGACCCCAGCCTGCTGGAAGTGGGGAGGCAGAGGATCGAGATGCGCTACTGCTCCAGCGACGGCTCCACGGGCTGCTCCACCGATGGTGAGTACAAGACAGGCAGATGGGCTTCGTCAGCGTTTGGATGCGTCTGTTATCTAACAGGCTCTCTGCGGCTCCACAGCCTGCTCGTTGTTTTCCTCACCTTAAACAATCCCTAACTCTCTTGTTGTCTAAAACTTTTCCTCTCTCCACATGTCCTGGAAAAGTTAAATGAGTCTTGAATAATTCCTCTTGTGTTCGTGATCCCATCTTCCCAGACTTTATCAGTGGATCAAAGCCTCAGACATGGTAATGAGCTTTTAATGCATAAAGCCGATCAGCAGCTTACAACTAATTGTAGCTCTCCCATGCACAAATGTGTGTGTTCGCAAAGTTTGGTTACTCTTGGACCCCACGGGTCCGGTTTTAGTGAACTTGTAAAAGTTTTTATGTGCTTCAGCTTTGCGTCTGCAAAGGGAAGGCATTTTAGGAGCCCCTAAATCAGGGGTTGTCAAGCTCATTTTTTTGACCCTCAAAGGGCCAGTTGTAATTAACTTTGACGAATTGTCAATGTCCCGTTCCTGAGCATTGCTAACAAACATTAACTGAGCTCTATGTGGTATTTTGTGCATAAAAACAGTGTTTTAACATGTCCTCTTATAAACACTGAAAAGTACTACATGTACGGCTAACTAAATGTGAAACAAAAAAATACTATTAAAAATGCATGTAAGAGAGTTTTGCTCACTGAGTTGTGTTAAGTAGCTGCTGTCTTGAATTTGGAACTCTCCCACTTTCCAACAGGGAATTCCCATGTATTATGGGAGTTGTAGTTTATGGTTAATGCTGGTTTTAAAGCAGCTTCTTAGGCATTAATGCAGGGATATTCAACTCAGAGGTCACAGTTACGTAACAGTGTAGGGGCAGGACAAGTATTATTATTTTTCACCTTTTAAACTTGTTCATTTTATTATTTGTTTTATTATAATTGATATAAAATCTATTTTCATGTTAAATTAAGTTTTAAAAATATTATTAAATAAAAACATTGGGTCTTTGGTGAGCCGGATGGAAGTCACCCACCCACTGGCCACATTTGGCCCTAAATAATGTTTTTAAACTAGTTTAAAATTCAACCACTGATTTTGTCTGGATATCAAAATCACAAACTTATGAAAACTAAAATCTTACAGACCAATAATAAAAACGACCTTACTCCTATATCATCACTGCTTGTTCTTTTTGTGCGAATTGATGCACATTTTCAGCCAACAAGCAGCTCATGAGAATTTAGTGTCATGAATGTTTTTGTACAAACGGTTTACTAATTGAGGAGTTGTTTATGTGCTTTGACAAGGTTTCCATGTTGGAGAGGAAGCAGGCGGGATGAAACCTCAACACAGCAAACAAGGTTCAAAAACAGACGAGGCTGTTAAAGTTTGTTTATGTGTTTATGGTGTTGCTCGTCGGCTCTGAGGGGGGGGGGGAAGCTGCTTTTTAGAGGTTTAATGTTAACGCCTGGAGAAGATGCAGCGGTGGCCTCCCATCTCTTTGAGTTCACCCGGGTCTCTGGGTGGTCCTTCGCCACCCCGCTGGGATCCCGTAATCACACAGATGCGGTAATCACAGAGGTTATCCCTAATGTACACTATTAGAGGGATTTTCCTTTTGATCTTCTTCATCCTTCTAATTTCTTATCACTAATAGCTGTCTTTGAGTCTGCGCTGCCACTGGTACGAGATGTTCTCTTCCCACTTTGAAGCCAACTCTTTAAACGTTCCTGAAGGGTTTAAAACGAGCACTGACAAGCACACTGACTGCAAAGTTTTACAAGGAGTGACAGCCGCACAAGTAAGACATTAGAGAACAAAAGGCTGAGCTTTAATGGGTTTGTCTCAGTTCTGATTAGTGGGAGGAAGTCACAGACACAACGTGTTTCATTACAGGTTGTCACACGATGCCTGGCATCAGATTAGTGTCCGCGTTAATTACTACAACTTAAAAAGTAAAAAGCCGCGAGTTCAGCTGTCACTGCTGGCTGTGCTTCAAGTCTGTGTTGTAGGATGTAACCAGGCAGTTTCACTCAACAACCAGAGGATATTTTCAGAAAATATAGATTTTTTTTCCATAAATCTAGCTTTTGTGCAAATAGAAGACATTGTTAACTCAGCTTGTTAGAGAGCACAATGTGCCCTGCTACAGGTTCTTGGGTTTGACCCTTATTTTGAAAGGAAGTAGGTGTTAGAAAACCTTAAAAAACACCAACAGGCGTATATTTCTGTGTGTTTTACAGACAATGGAGACAAATTTGGTGTGGTGGTAGCTAGGAATCCTCAAACACATACTTCTGGTAGTAATGCATGGAACAATACTGAAATGTCAGTACCACTAATACCAGAACTTTAGGCTCTAGTATCTTTATTAAAATTGAAATATCAATACTTTGATACTTTAGTCATTTCAGGAAATGTATATCAATAACACTAACACAGTGAAAAGTAACTAAACAATTGAAACCTTGCCTAAATCATATGCGGTTGTTGGGAACTACTTTTTCTTCCGCCTGGGTAATGTGTAAGCGCAGAGGCACGTGCTCAGTCTGTAGATGTTCATGTTCAGTTTTTCATGTTTAAATGAATTAAGAAAGTCTTCATTTATATAATAGTTCTTGATAATTAAGCAATTGTTTATTTTAATGTGTTTATATAACTGTATGTTTGTATTGTTTGAAACACCATTTTCACATTTTTTTGTATGTTTGTGTCCTGTTTGGTTTTTCTGTTGTATTAGCTCATCTATGTTGTAACTAAGGATGATATGAATACATAAGTTACTGATGTCTTGTATTTTTATTTTTATTTTTTGAAGGTATGACTTGAAATACACTACTTTATTTTAGAATTACCAGACGCATTAGGTGTATTTGAACAAAGTATCAGTATCGGATCAATATCACCATTTCAAGCGTGAATTTTCCCTGATATCAGGATCGGATGGATTGGATGGATGGATGGATGGATGGATGAATGGATGAATGGATGGATGGATGAACATCTCTGACCTCAGGAGCTAGTAGCTGTGATCACTTGACATGGCTTTTATGAAATTTAACTCAAAAGATTTTAACTTTTATTTCAAAAGTTCAGCTGTGTTGAGGGAGCAACTGTGTAGAAGACAAAACTGTCTCCTTATCTGCAGAAGGAAAAAAACAGATTCACTCAGTTGTTGTACACTCCATCTAATGATGGCAAGACCCACTGTGGCGTGCAAGGTCTCCGTGTGCAACTCCGTGTTCACTCCCAGGCTTCAGTGTGATTCAGGTGCCAGAGGAGTTTTAAGTCATAACTGTCGAAAAGGAGAACAGACTGTGCTGGTCTGCTTCTTTGTTTCAACCATTATCAAACTTGCCATCCATCTGCTGAGCGCTGGTGTGTGCATATTTGTGGGTGTCTGTGGGGGCGAGATGATATGTTTGCCAGTGTTGCTGTTTATGATGTTTGTTGTGTGCACCTGTTTGTGTTTGAGACTCCTTTTTTTTAAACCACCTCCTACTGTCCATCCCTCACAGATGCATGTGTTGTCCAATCATCCAGAGACAGCAGTTAACCTTTCTTAGAGCAAGAGGCTATCATAAGATAATTACCCCCACAGCGGTGGTGTGTATTGATGTCCAATGCTGGGGCAAAGGACACGGCGATGTCTCCGAGACGAGCAATCAAAAGGAATGACGTGTCACTCTGTATAGATTTACCATCTGCATCAGACAGCTTGCAGTTGATTGGAGCGCCGTGCAACATAAAACAGGTTGATGAGCATTTTGAGAAAGCATAATCAATTTCTCAGCACATAAAAATGATATAACTCACCAATTACTAAACAGCTAAGATAATTAGTTGCATTAATCCTTTTTTTAATTTTGTTCTCCAACCCAGGACTGTTATCACCTGTGTGCCTCATACACACACAGATGTCACACATGCTGTTCAGTAATTCACTCACAATGGTCAGTGAATCAAATAGGATAGCATTCATGCTAACTCGCACGCTAGACTGGAGGTCTCGTGTACATTTCGTCAACTGTGCTTGTCTGTCCCAGGCAAAACACAAACGGTTGTATTAATTAGGTTACTATAAAGCAATATATCTGCACAGACTGTTATCCTGTGACTGACACAACCCATTATAGTGACCACAGTGAGTCCAATCTGTGCTAAACGAATCAGAACAAACAAACAGAAACTCATCATGCAGCTGTCTGGTAATTCACTCTGATTATTGGAATTCTGACAAAACAGACATTTTATTGAGCAAGATTTTGATAAACAAAGAATTAAAAATTTAGCATAAGAAAGAATTTTCCAAGGATGGCTGTTTAATTATCTTTAATAGTCAGTAGGCAAAGCGTACTTTTGTTGTTTACTCTGACATGTCCAGGTAATAACTCTGCTGTCAGTGAGTTCCAAAAGCTTTGCACATAAACACAAGGATGCATGTCTTAAAGGGGCGTGTATTATGCATATAAAAAATTTTGAGCATCATATCATATAATGATGTCATTCCTTCATTAAAAACATACCCAGAGTGTTGCTTTGATTCATTCGTGCATGTTTGAGAAATCCTTGAATCTCCTGTAGCCATGTGGAGCTGCCTAAACATATGCTGGTGCAAAGCTCCGCCTATTTACACAAGGCTCCTCCCAGGAGCTCAGTCTGCAGCCCAGCTCTCCCTCCCCTAAAGCATTGTTGTGATTTGCATTGACGTGCTGAAGTTGGAGTGTCTGAAACAGTAGGAGCTTCTTAAAGAGACAGAGGCCAATTTCAAGACATTTAGAATTAAATTTTTGATATTTACAGCATTTTCACATCACTGAAGATAATATAGGTCCTTGATTGTGCTTTAAAATTGAACTATGTGCCTGGAAAATACTTAATACCTACCAACACCATTTTAAGGTTGCATAAAGGAATTAAAATGGTCTAATTTGAAGAGACAGACATTCAGAAATGACCTGTACTCCGTTTTAATGCATCCTGCAGGACCTTAAGAAACACTAAAAATGCTCT